TCTCGAAATAGTATGATATTCTCAACGTCGTATTCAATCACATGAATAGAAGAAACCCTGAATCTATGTGGGGTATACTAATTTATTTTTCCACCACATTAAGCCTCTAACGAGAAGAGAGGTGGATAGAGAATATGGAGGTAGGAGGAAATGGGAAGAAGAGAACAAGCGGGCTAAATTTGAACGAAGAGAGGAATACAAAAGGAGACGGGAGGAGAGAAAAACATGGAGAGACCCCAATGCTCGCATCATGAGAGGCATGGGAAGTGGAAGGGGAAATTAGGGCGAGGGAGATCCGAAGGTCAGGAAGTTAAAAAATGTCAGTGTCTGAAGGTGAGGATATGTATGGGTGCATATATAAGGTGGAGAGATATTTTACGGTGAACGGGTTGACCGGTGGGAGATGCTTATGAAGACAGCTCTATGTCTCGAGGGGAAGGCACTTGCATGGTACCAATGGAGGGAGACAAGATACCCAATCCGTACAAGGGAAGAGTTCAAGGACCATTTATTGGAGCGCTTTCAAACCAAACCGAAGGACTATTATGAGCAGTTCCTTGCTTTAACACAGGTAGGAACAGTGATAAAGTACCAGGGGATATTTAAGCTTTAGTCGGGACATTTTGGGAGACTACCAGAGACTTTGTTGAGAGCAATTTTATAAAGGTGCTCAAACCTGAGCTGAAAGTCATTGTGCGGGTGGAAAGACCCCATGACTAGGGAGAGGCTATGAAGTTAGCCCAGCTGATAGAGGACAAGAACTAACTTAAGAGGAGTAGCCAAGGGGGCTGTTTTGGAGGTTATTACACACGACGACCATCTTCCTTGCACCTAGGGCGTCGACTATATTGGGTTAAAGGGTAAGCTCCAAAGAACAAAGATTATGGAGCTCGGTCGGGACGAAACTTTAAATGGCTAACTAATACGGAGGTGCAATACAAACGAGATAACTGCTATATTTTAGGTGTGACAAGAAGTTTACACCAAGCCATAGGTGTAAAAATCGCACATCGTAGGTCCTTTTTGTTTGTGATGAAAAGATGAGCGGAGTAGAGGAAGAAGGAGAAGTGGTAGAGGAAGAGGAGCCCTTACACTTGGAGGTGGCGAAGGTTTCGTTAAATTCTATAGTGGTATTCACCTCGAATCACACTATGAAGATGAGGGGACAGATAGTAGGGAAAGCGGTGGGGCTTTTATGGATAGTGGGGCTACCCAATATTTCATATCCACTTAGGTAATTGTTAAGCCGGGGCTAAAGCTAGTAGACACGGGATATTTTAGGGTGATGATATACATAGGGAAGGTGGAGAAGAGCAAGGCTATCTATCAAATAGTAGCCCTCATTCAGTACAGGAAACAAAGAAGAGAAGCCACGAGAACCAAGCAGCCAACCACGGGAACCAAGCAACCAAGGCACGGGAACCAGCCAGGGAACCACGGGAAAATCAGCAGCAAGGGACCCGAGGAGTCACACAGAGAATGGAGCAATAGGCACAGGAAACTAAGGGGCAAAGCACGGGAAAACAGCCACCAAAAACCGAATAGCCATAGCACCTCCAACTCAACCAATTAGATTTAGGGAAAAGAAAAGCCAATAACCACAAAACAACAGCTCCCAAGACGGCCCAGGAAACAGAGCAAAAACGCCACGGAAGACCCAGCTGGAAGCCACAGGAAACCCAGCCAGCAGGGGTCCCGAACAGCCAGCACAGAGAACGAACCCCAGGCATAGGGAAAACAGCCAGGACCATGGGAACAGCAAAAGCCCAAGAGAAACCGAGGGGGGGGCAAGGAGGAAATCGATAAGGCAGCATGGGGAAGGGGAAAAGCCAAACTTTTCCACACATAATGAGCTTGAAATTAGTAGAGAAACCTTTTTGAATTAATGAGCTAAAGTCACAACTTAAGCATTTATGAGCTAGAACCAAGTAAATCCCAAAAATTAGCTCCAAATCAAAGCAAACAAGGCCCAAACCGAGAGCACCAGCAGCCCAAGGGTCAAAACAAATTCTCATATTGTTTTGACCCCCCCTTTGCATGCATCAGTGGTCTTTTGCAACCTTTAGCTTTATCCGAGAAGGTATGGGAAGAAGTGACTATGAACTTCCTTAAGGGATTGCTTAAGTTAGATCTGGTGGTGGTGCATTGATTGAGCAAATAGGCTCATTTCATTCCACTACGCCACCCATACACCGCAGTGTCAGCGACAGCCTCTTTCATTAGAGAGGTGGTCTATTTGCACGGCATACCCATACTGAGTGTCTGATCGGCACAAGTTCTTTCTGAGCCATTTCTAAAGGGAGTTATTCAATATGCATGGGCTCTCCTGAAGCGTAGTATCTCTTACCACCCAGCAGATAGATGGTCAACCATATATGGTAAATTATAGCGTTGAGACTTATCTTCGTTGTTTTGTCTCGGATACCCCAAAGATGTGGGTCAAATGGTTAGCCTAGGCAAAATACTGGTATAATACTTCATATAATACAGCAACCCGGACAACACCATTTAAAATCCTATATGAGAAGGATTCCCCTCATCTGCTACATTATGGGCATGGGAACAAACCAACAACTTCAGTGGAGCAGTATTTAAGAACGAGGGATCGGATTTTGGCAGAATTGAACAGACATGTATAGCAAACATAGCAAATTATGAAGAAGAAGAAGACAGATATACAGAAGAGGGATGTGCAATATGAGATTGGAGATAGAGTTTATCTAAAGATCCAACCTTATAGACAAAGGATGTTAGCTCGACGGAGGAATGAGAAGCTTTCCCCAAGATAATTTGGGCCCTACAAGGACGTGAAGCGCATTGGCATGATCGCCTATCGACGACAGTTGCCACCAACTTCAATCATCCATCTTGTATTTCATGTGTTGCAATTGAGATGAGCCATTAGAGACCATAACCCTCAACCGTACTACTAGATACACTATCAGAAGATATGTATGTAATATTAAAACTACTATAGGTGCAAGGGGTGCACTAAGGAAATAAGGGAATCAGGGAAGTATTGATCAAATGGAAGAATTTACCATAGTATGAAGCTACATGGGAAGCCTATAGCACTATCCAGATGCAGCTTCCTTTTTCTACCTTGACGACAAGGTAACCTTTTGGTAGGGGATATTGATACGGTTGTGGACTCCACCCCCCTAGGTAGTAGCTCGGCCGAATTCCAGAAGCCAAAAGGCTCCTGTTTTGTGGGTCCCAGCACCTCATTTCAGACCTATAGAAGGAAAAATTTTAAGGGGAGATCATTGGAGGAAATGTGAGGAACATTTATGGTAGGATTAAGGCTAAAGGGGGAAAGTTTGCATGTTGTAGAGAATATGTGAAGAATTTTTAGGAGTAGTTTATTGGATAATTTTGGATTCCTAGTTGATGTTAGGAATTAGGTGAGAGCTGATTCATCTCACGAACAGTGAATCAATTGTACCATGTAATTCTTTTAATTGAAGATTATTATTTCATCTTTACGAGTATTGTCCCGATATACCGTTGTTTTTACTTGCTTCGTGGATGTTTTCTCACTATTTGATTTTGATTTTGTTTTAGTGGTTGTTTAGGATGCTGATTTGATCCTCACATCATATCAGAATACCGCACATATTAAAATAGGTCATGTATATTCATCGCAAAAACTTTAAATTCCAAACAATGCATTATGAGCCCTCTCCCTACAAATGAACTTGTGACTATGAGATATGCAAGAATATTTGGCTTTAAATTTGCTAGAGGCCTTCAATGCCATTTATGAAGGAAATTCATTACAAAAATGCTGACTTTTGAGTTCACCACTCATATGGTAGCTCGCAAAATTAGCACTCCAACCCAATCCATTGTTAGAAAATAAAAAAGAGTTAATAAGGTAAATGAAATATTCAAATAGATTGATGACTGTTGTGCTAAAAGAAAATCTCAATCGAAGGAGATTCTACATTCAAAATACCCTTGTATCTTCATGCAAATCATTTTAAGCTTCAATTCAAGCAAAATATAACAATACCAAGAAAACTTATAAATTTAAATATCCAAAGTGAAATTAATCCCCTATAAATTAAAGTAAAATTCATCAACCCTCCACAATTACTTGTCAAAGTGTATTTAATATGAGAACTTTAGCTAACAAAGAGTTAATATATTGTCAAACGTGTGGATACAATTCATTCTTAAATGATCTCTCATCAGAAAGGACATAGCACGTTTCTTCTAATCGATGGTTTAACCAAAATGGCATCACAAATAAATGGATATAACCGAGGGCCATCTAATTAGATGACTTTGCCACAAATTTGCATCATTAAAATACCTTAATGGATAGAGCCTACAAATCCACTAATGGCTAAGAAATAATTGAGTATTGAATCATAGGGTGTGCACTTGATAGGGCATAAAGCCCTTTATTAATTCTTGTCAACTTAAATTTTTACCATTAGAAAATTAGTCATCCTGAGTCTACAAAGTTCCCATGGACGAAGGAACTCATGGCTACTAACAAAAACCCTTCAATCCTATTAGGTCGACTGTATCCTCCAGCTACATAATTTAGAGTCCACGACAATCTAAGATAAATGAACCATGGAATCTTAATTGAGTTTATCATCAACCCCCTCACCAACCACTTTAAATTTAAGTTGTAAATTTCCAACTCTCAATCAAATTTGCTACTACTATATACTAAACATTTAGATTCAAACGACTAGTTTTAATTGAATGTTTTCTCTTATCACCGGAAAGGGTAATTAACCATAAGGACTTGAGCCAATGGGATGCCCAAAATGAGGACAAAATATCAAGGTATTGTTTTATCTTAAATATAATCTATGACTACAAGTGCAATGTTTATTGTACAATTACAACCTTATCATCCTTTGAGGTATTAAGTAGCTAATAGTATTCCTCTTGCAATAACTTGTATTTTGCTTCTAGTTCATATTTTACCAATTCAACGTACAATACCATTCAGGTCAAAAGGGACAATTGCTGCTCACCTTTAATAAAGTCTGCAGAGCTTTTTGGCGAAATATTTTAGATGATGGTGGAAATGGGGCTGGGGGTATCTCCCAGTTCTTTATGTCGTTTCTGCAGACCCCCCAGTGAATAATAACGTCTCCTGGCATATCAGTATCAAAATAAACAAGGTTTTTATCTTCCTCACTGCTTATGACAGTAACTGTTACAGTATTCAGGACAAACTCCTCCGTAATAAGAGCGTATTCTTCATAAAAATCTGAAATACGTATGCGGTTCCGCAAAGGATCTAAAATATCAGGATTACTCCCTTCGTCTTTAGAATGAGAAACATCAGGTTTCAGCAGAAAGTTAGACATCTGATCAAACGGCCCTGAAACAACACGCGAGTCTTTGTCAGTGATTTATTAATTAAGATTTACAGTAGATATAACATGAAACGATCACATAATCAGGCAAAAAGAAAAAAAAAATATTTTTCTATAGATATTATCGTGCAAAGATTTTCATTCTTGTGGCCAAACTTTTAAAAGCCCCAGTGGCATGCAACTCTTGTCCCTAGCATACTAAATTGTTTGTCAATTAAGAATCCAGCTTTAGCACAAACGATGCTCCTAGGGTGCTTCTACCTGCTAAAGCTCCATGTAGTTGTATGAAAAATACAGTTAACATTAACTTCTTACTAGTATGCCATAAAGCAAAATCAAATCGGTGCCAGCAAAAATCTAACTCCATAATGCATCCCTGTTGTTCAAGAAGGTATCACACTCATTCAGGTCATAAAAAGGAGAACTCAGAAGAAACAAAGCACTGTTACAACTCATTATATTAACAGAAAAAGAAAACACAACCTGGCCATATATTGAAGCTTTTCTTTTTAGGTTCAATATGTGCACCTTGTTGAAGTTGATTTACTAGTTGAACTTTGAAGTCACTGCCCTTATGCTGAAACCATGCTCCTTTTTCTTCCTCCTGTAGGGCATCAAAATAGATGCCAAGTTAGCTATTGATGCAACAACTCCTAAGCTTTATCAAATTTTGTTGCCACCAAAAAGATAGGATTTGTAAACAAGACATTTCTAATTTGATATTTTTATAGAGACCATTTGTTCTCTTTGTTAGCATAAACAACACATTTGTGATTCAATTATTGTAGCCAACAAAGTTGAAAGACAAACACTGACATATAATTTGGGGATTTAAAAACTAAGTCTGGATGCAAACCAATTGAACAATGTCCAGAAGGCACTGCATATATTTCAAAAGGGGTATTTTATTCACTAATAAATCTTAATTATTTTATGCAATGACCTAGGATTCATTTATAAATTGGCTTTAGGTGGTTTGCTTTTCAAAACCTAACATAACACAAATTTGCATGTGAAAAACATGCAAGGGAAAGTGTTATATTGCACATACACCTCCATAATGCTTCAAGATCAGGGGCAACGCCTCTATAGAATAAATTTTGTATCTCCATTAGAGTAGAGTATTTTTTTTTTCTTTCTTTCTTTTGTTTCTTTTAACACTGTCGTTGTCAGGTCCCAAGTCTTGGATGAAAAAGTTGAGGGTTGTGTTAACGACAGCCAGTGTAAAACTTATCGAATAATCATGACATAAATCTTTTAAAAAATTGTGTTAATGCTAGAGCGTCCCATGGAAACAACGCGCTATATAGCCTGAATACAGCGACAAGTGTGCAAGGGAGGGCCGTTGCATTGGTGCCCGGGTGCAGTGTTAAATGGGCAAGGGTTCCCACATCAAGGATGAATGTGGGCAAAGAAGCTAGTTCATGAAACTAAAATTAAGATAGGATCGTGGAATATAGGCTCCTTTACAAAAAAATTAATGGAATTAATAGATATTATGATTCATATGAAGATTAATATTCTGTGCATTCAGGAAACTAAATGGGATGGAGAGAAAGCTAAGGAGATTGATAATTTAGGATATAAAGTAAGATATTTGGGTATGAGTCGTACTAGAAATGATATAGGTGTGATTTTAGATAAGAGTTTGAATGATACAGTTATAAAAATTAATAGAATTGGATATAAAATTATAACTTTAAAAATTGTTGGTGATGCTAAGATTATATTATAAATGCTTATGCTCCTCAAGTAGATTTGGATATGGGTTCAAAATTAAAATTTTGAAATGACTTAGAATAATTAATACAAAAGATACCTCTTGAAGAAAGAGTTTTTTTTTTAAATACCTTGCGCTGCGTTTAGAGAGAGAAGCTCTGCGTTTCTTCTAGAGAGAGATGGTTTTTTTCAAATCTTTGTTTTTTTTTGCGGTAATCCGCCTCCATCCATGGCGGCGTCGGCGGGCCGACCGCCGTCGGATTACTGGCCTCCTCCGAACAATCATCCACCTGCAGATCATCGGCTGCCTTCTGGTCGATCATCTCCTTCATCTTCTCTGCTTTCTTCGAATCTCTGTGAAGACGCTCAGAGGAATTCAAGAACTAGTTTTAAGCCTTTGAGTATCAGAGATGGCTTTGGCTCAATTGCTCAACATGATAAATCGCAACTTCCTGTAGTTGAAGGAAAGAGAAAGAACTTGGTTGAACCTTCGATATTGGCCCATGCGCCTGATCAACATGATAAAATACAACTCCCTAAATCAGGTTATGTCGCTAATGGGCTTTCGTTTAGAACTCTGGATCATGATGCTTCTACTTCTTCGGAACTGATCCTTAAAGTCATCAAGTTTGTTGGAAATAAATAAGGATCTCTTAATCGAAATTTATCGGTTAAGTTTGCGAATCCTGAAGTCTCTCATGTTGAACACGTTAACACTGTTACATCGAATGAAAAAGCTATTGATCAATCAACTGATGAAACTTGTAATCAAAAAGATTCCTTTCTTAATGCATGGAGGAAACCTCACTATATCAAAATCAACTTTGATATGAATTCTATAGAAATGTCATCTGATGGGGTGGCGGTGAAGTTGAATTCTAATCTGGAAATTGCTAATTCCCAAATTCTCACAAATTCTGTTGTTTTGAAAGTTCTGGGGAAGAACATTCCTTTTTCGGTTTGTAGCATTGAGCTCCGGAGGCAATGGAATAAATTTGATAATTTTCATTTGACTTCCTCGGGATTGAATTGGATTCTTTGTTCTTTCAAGACTTCTGAAGCCATGGAAGAAGTTCTCAGTGATGGCCCATGGTACATTGGCGGTCATATTGTTGGTTTGGACAAATGGTCGTCTCTTTTCTCACCTTTATCTCTTAAAGGTTTATCAGCACCCATTTGGATCCGCTTTCCACTTCTGCCATTATATTGCTGGGACGAAGTCAATATTACCAAGATTGCTTCAAGAATAGGTACACCAATGTACTTGGATGGTAACTCCTTTAAATGGAGTAAGAAGGAATTTGCTCGTGTTTGTGTTCGTATTAACTTAGAATCCAAACTGCCTTTGGGAGTTTGGGTTGATGGTTTGGGTGGAAGATTCTTCCAAAAAGTTGAATACGAGAAATTAACATCCTTTTGTTTTCATTGTGCCAAAATTGGACACTTGAAATCTGAATGTCCAGATCTTAGAGCTGTCAAGTCTAATGATAACTGTAATGATAAGAATGATGCTGTCCAACATGATGCTTCTCATCATGATCAAAATGAGAAGTATGGCCCTTGGATCCATGTTAAATTTAAAAAAAGACCAAATCAGAATTGGAATCGGGCAATTGGAAGAAGGAAACCAAGCAAGTTGATACTCATTTTGCTGACAGAAACATTAACAATGGCCTAGCAGTGAATATTTCTGATGCTGCAATGATTGTGGATAGTTCTTTTAATGACAACCATCAGGTGATTGTTAATTCAAAAACTGATCTTAACTTGTCCAACAGTTTTGAAGTTCTAACTACATAAATCAATAAGCTGGAAGATGGTAATTCAGACAATGCCCTTGATGAATCAGAAGTACCTACTGATTTTGCTACTGAAGTTTTGGAAAAAACTGAAGCTATAACTGTTGGTTCCCCCGTATTTACTAATGTTCCTGTTTTGTCGGACATTGCAGAAATTCTCATTTCTGATCCTCTATTGGCTGATGGCATTCAGTGCCCTGTTGAAAGTTCTGATGCTGTCATTTTTAATGCTTCTGCTGGAGAAATTCTTGTTGAAAACGCAATAGCTTCAGATACTAACATTGAAGTATCTGAAACAACTGATATAACATATTCTGGATATGCAGGAAAACCAAGACATGGAATTTCTGAGAAAGAATCTTCTAACTCTGCCAAGCAAAAGCCCAAGTTACAGCTGAAATTTCTGGGACCTATCGAACCCGTCTCCAGGAAAAGAAAAGTTGAACGAAAGGGAAAAAAAAGGCGGGGACTCTTCCCCTTTAGGTAATTAATGTCTTCTTTCATCTTTTGGAATTGTAGAGGGGCCAAGAAGAAGGAGACCTCTCTTTACCTAAGGGAAGTTGTGAAAGATAACGCAGTTTTTTTTGTTGGATTAGCTGAAACCAAATTAGCTGAGATTGATAGAAAAGATGTCAACAGGATTATTGGCAATGACTGGGATTTTCATCATCAACCAGTTGTTGGTACTTCTGGAGGAAATCTGGTGCTTTGGAAGAAAAATCTGGTTTCTTTCAATGTGATCGATCATTCCTCACAATTAGTTTTTGGTGTTCTGAATTCTCCTAATAAGGGAATTTGGCATGTGCCTATGGTTTATGGCCTATCCTCTTAGATGGCGCTTCTTTCCTAAAACCGATTGTTAAATGGAAGACTGTTAATGGCAAAAGTATCAATGTCATGAATGAAATATGGTTATTAAACAAATGCTTCAACAAATTGCCCATGCTTGCTGACTGTATTGGTTTAGAAGATATGATGCTATAGAATTTTCTTCTCAGGGACGGTAATTGGAACCTGATTGAGTTAAATCATTTTTTCAATGAAAACATGGTCAATCTCATTGTGCAGCATAGTGTTATCCATGAAGGGGAGGATGATCAAATGGAACTTCTTTTCCAATTATCTGGTAAATCTATTTCAGCCTTGGCATATGCTGAAACTATCAAATTTAACAATCATAATGAAGATTTCGGGTTTTCAAACTGGTTAAGAAAGTTAAAACTTAAACCAATAGTTGAATTATTTTGGTGAAGGATGAGTAGGTTTGTCATTCCTACTAATGAGTTTTTGAAATATAGAAGACTTTGTAATAGTGATCTTTGTGCAAGAGGATGTCTTGAAGTTGAAGATTGTGCGCATGTTGTTGTTCATTGCAAATTCCTCATTGATATCATTTGCAAGTTAAGATATTGGAGATTCAATATTCCTATCTTCCACTCTTTGGAGGATTGTCTTTTCCAACTAGAAATCTTTCCAAAGTGTGATTGGACATAGTTAAGATTTACTGTACAGCTATTTTCAGTTCTTCGTATTGTCGGAATGATGTCAAGCATGGCAATTCTACCTTACCCATTTCGGTTATTGCTGCAAACATCTTATTCACTGCTACAAATTGTTATCCGATGCTAGTTAACTGGGAGGCCTCTCTCCTTCGGGAGTCTGAAACTTCATGGCACCCCCCACCACTGGATTGGATAAAAATACATGTAGATGCTTCCTTATTGGATTCAAACAAAGCAAGCATTGGCGGTGTAGTCAGAGATTCCAAGGGAAGATTGCTCCTTGCCTTCGATAAGCATAAATTACATTGGGATATCAATCAACTTGAGCTGGATGCTGATTCTACATTGAAAGAATTCCTAAGAGATTGGATGTTTGAAAGCAAAGGTTTAATAATTGAGGGTGATAACTATAATGCCATCAAATTCCTTCACAATTCAATGACGAAATCAACACAGACGGCCAATAATCTGATTTTCGAGAAGCTGTCATTCCTCCATGACTTCAACAAGGTATTCTTCCATCATACCTCTAGGAATTGCAACAAAGCTGCTGATTTGTGTGCTTCTTTAGCATTGGATAATAACTTTTGTTTTGACTCTTTTAGTTCTTCTGATATTCCTTCTTCTTTGTATAGCATTTTGAAGAGGGAATATGACAATTGCATTGTTTGATTAGTTTCTAATAGCTTTTTTAGTTTCTCCTTAATGCAATTTGCAATTTTCAAAAAAAAAAAAAGTTTTTATTGGAGGAGATTTAAATGTAGATGTTGGTAGAGAGATAGATAATTTTAAAAGCATTCGTGGTGGTCATTGATTTGAAACAATAAAGGAAGGTGTTAAGACCATAATAGATTTTTCTTTAGGTTATGATTTTTAATAGCTAATATCTTATTTAAGAAAAGAGATGAGTATCTTATCACTTATAAAAATGGATATAGTAAAATGCATATTGATTATTTTCTTATAAGAAAATTAGATCGTTTAGATTGCAAAGATTGTAAAGTTATTCCGAGTAAAAATTTGTGTACCCAATATCGATTATTAGTTTTGAACTTTAAGATAAAGGAACAGAAAATAAAAAATATAGTAAGACGATATTTTAGGATTAGATGGGGGCATTTAAAGAATATTAACAAAAGTATTTTTGAGAGTAATATTTTAAATCTTAAGATTTTATCTGTGCATGAAGATGTTAATATTATGTTGGAAAAAATGACTAATGATATTAACAATATTGCAAAAGATGTGCTTGAATTTCAAAAGGAAAAGCTCCTAATCGTAAAAATAGTTGGTGGTGGAATCCAATTGTGCAAGAAAATATAAAAAATAAGAATATTTGTTATAAAAATTAGTTTAGATGTAAAAATTATGATAATATGAAAAGCTATAAAGAGGCTCGTAAGAAATCTAAGAAAGTTATTTGCGATGTAAAGAGCTTAACTTTTAATGATTTATATAATAGATTAGATACTAAAGAGAGAGAAAGATATATGTATAAGTTAGCCAAACAAAGAGATAAGAGTAGTAAGAATTTAGTTCAAGTGAAGTGTATTAAGGACGAGATCAAAAAATATACTTTTCTTAAAAGATGATATTTAACAAAGGTGAATGAGATATTTTACTAAACTTTTTTAATGATGAATGTAAAAATACGATTGACTTTAGTGACTTTAACACTCTAAATGAAAATAAATATTTTTATTTTTATCGGCGTATTAGTAACACCGAAATTAGGATGTTTTAAAGAAAATGAAATGAGGCAAAGTTGTTGGACCTGATGATATTCCAACAGAGATGTGGAAATGCTTAGGAGAAGAAGAAATTTCTTAGCTTACTAAACTTTTTAATACTGTTTTGAAGACTAAAAAGATGGTAGATGAGTGGAAATGAGTGTGTTAATTTCTATTTTTAAGAATAAAGGTGATGCACAGGAGTGTGCGAAATATAGAGGAATTAAGTTATTATGTCATACTTTAAAACTATGGGAACGAGTTATGGAACACAGGTTGCGGCGTGATACTAATGTTTCTCAAAATCAATTTGGATTCATGCCGGGAAGGTCTACTATGCAAGCCATACATTTATTGAAAGGTTTGATGAAGAAATATAGAGAGAATAAGGAGGATCTACATATGATATTTATTGATTTAGAGAAATCATATGATAAAGTTCTAAGAGAAGTGCTATAGAGAGTTCTTGAAAAGAAAGGAGTTAATAACGCTTATATTCAAATCATTAAAGATATGTATGCAGGAGTTATTATTTGTGTTCAAACACAAGGTGGTTTGACAAAGTATTTTCCTATTTCGGTTGGATTACATCAAGGATCAGCATTAAGCCCATATCTTTTTTCTTTAGTCATGGATGTTCTCACTAGACATTTGCAATACGATGTACCTTGGTGTATGCTTTTTGTTGATGATATTCTTCTTGTTGATAAAACTTGAGAGGGAGTTGAAGGTAAACTGAATTATGGAGGTCAACCTTAGAGTCTAAAGGTTTTCTCTTGAGTAAATCTAAAACTAAATATATGGATCGTAGTTTTAGTAGCAATAGACCTAGTGAGGGGATTGTGACTTTGGGCGATCAAGTCATTAATAAGAGTACACGTTTTAGATATCTTAGATCTATTGTTCAGAGTGATGGTGAAATAGATGGAGATATTATCAGTAGAATTCAAGCTGGATGGTTGAAGTGGAGAAATGCTTCGGGCTTGTGCGATAGAAAAGTCTCCCTCAAACTTAAGGGAAAATTTTATAAGATAGTGGTGAGACCTGCAATGCTTTATGGTGTTGAATGTTGGCCATTAAAAGAGAAGCATAATACTAAGTTAAGTGTTGCAGAGATGAGGATGCTTAGGTGGATGAGTGGCTTTACCCTTAGAGATAGGATACGAAATGAGCATAGACGTGAAAAGATTGGAGTAGCTCCAGAGGAAAATAAAATTAGAGTCGCCTTAGATGGTTTGGTCACATTAAACGGAGGTCTTCCGATGACCCGGTTAGGAAAGTTCAGGTATTAGATTTGACTTATGTTAAGAAAGGTAGAGGTAGACCTAAAAAGACTTGGTTAGAAATTATTTGAAATGATATTTATTTATTACATTTAAATGAGAATTTGACTTTTAACATGACACAATGGCAAAAAAGTATTCATGTAGCCGTACCCACGTAGTGGGACAAAAGCTTGATTTTGATGTTGATGTTTCTTTTGTTTCTTTTGGTAGGAGTGAAGATGGTATTATTTCTCACACCGCAGCATAGTAACAGGACAGCATTGCCAAATAAAGCCTTTGCCAAAATTCATGCATCAAGAGATGGAAATTACTCAAGATCATAAACATGAAGGCAAAGACAAAATCATAAAATAGATCCGCAAACAGGAACAACGCCACTGTAGAATAAATTTTGTATCTCCATTAGAATAGAGTAGAACTTTTCTTTTATTCTTTCATTGTTTTTTTTAGCAAGAGTGAAGATGCCATTGTTTCTCACACCACAGCATAGTAGCAGAACAGCATTGCCAAATAAAGCCTTTGCCAAAACCATGCATTAATAGATGGAAAATACGCAAGATCATAAACATGCAGGCAAAGACAATCATAAAATAGATCCACAACGGCTGGTTTATCATGTCTTACGAGCAAAACAGCAACAACAAAAACAAAAACAACATAATACCTTCAAAACAAAATTTATTGCAGCGATTGTTTTGCAACTTTCAAACTCGACATGAAATTCATGTAGAACCTTTCCTTCCGCTGCAAATAAAGATCTCTTCATGGGTGTTTCTACTGCATAACCCTGAGAATACAACAGAATATGTTTTTAGAATTAAAAGTAAGATAAAATAGAGAATTAAAAAGCAGAAGCCGTAGATACCACCTTGATAGCAATAGAGCCAGGAGGTCTCATTTCAGGAGGGGGTTGATCCCATTCACTGCAAATTTTCAAACTATTCACATTATTAGGTAATGCGGAATGACATGGTGAACAATAAGCTTTGGTAGACAGGATAAGTTTCTTGGAATCACCCCAACAAGAAGAAATGTCTATCTAGCATAAGCTAAGAAAACTGCCATGATCTCCCCAAGAAAGCCTTTCACTTCCTAGGATTTGGTGAACAAAGAGTATAAACCTAGAACATTTCATTCATTAACTCTCTACTCTCGCTATCAAGCCAATTACCCTAGATACAGGATGTAAATATAACCAAAAATTCAACCTTAACAAACCCAGATTGTGATACTGCTAATCTTCGTGCTAAAAAACTAGAATAAATAGATTTCCTTCTAAACCAAACCAAAACAAATAAATAAATAAAACAAAAGCAAATTTTGCGGGCAAAGTCAACTAAAACACCCCCGCAAAATGGCCCTGGAGAATGCCATTAACAGTAGACATGGCAAGACTGAACATTACATTCAAAAACTAGAAAAAGAAACCCTCAAATCTCTGTTGTAACATCTTTTTATTAATCATTGGGTTTGTATAAGTGTGCGTGCAAAAATGAGCTTGGAAAAGGCCGAAAAGCATGTTTGCAAAATCATAACCGCAAGGGAAAATTTACATCATTTCATCTTTATAGGGACTTAAAAGGAAAGCATTTCATTTGTGCTCACCAGACCTACAGGCTAAATATTAGGATAGAAAAGTGTCTATCAACATTAAATGCAATTCATAGTGAGACATATTTTAGCTGACTATACTAATTAATACAAGCTAAATTAAGCTAAATGAAATAGTCTAACGCACCATGTAAATGACGAGACAAAGTATATGATGCTATCCTGTCAAGAGACAACTAGAAGTCATGCTAAGATATTTGCATTCACTGAAGCTTTATGCTCTTTAACCTAGCTAAAATGCTTGCTTCATATTAAAGAAAATAATGAAACAAATAAGTGATGTGTTGCCTAAAGACCCCATGGCTGTACTTTTTTACTACATTCAAATATTTCGCCTCTCCCCATACAACGGTCTAGTAATAATAATTTGAAATAGAATGTGAAAAGACTAGTTTTGGCAATCTAATATGCCTGTAAATTTGCAAAAGTTCTAACTGCATACACATATAAGTTCTAACTACATACACATATATGTGCATGTAGGACACTCGCAGGTATCTCATCTAAGTCCAGTCCATAAAACTCGGCCAGGGGGGAGCACACAACAGCACTCATCAAAAAGGAGTATTGCCTCACAAGGCAGTCGTCAACACTAGCCTATAGGCAAGCAGCCACTCACTCCTGCGAAGAACATTGCATACAAACTTTCCCTAGAAGATAAAACTAAGGATGCAACCATCATCAATGGGCTCCTCCAATGGGCTCACCCATGCATACCTGAGCCCCAAAAGGGCCACTCCCCTACGAGAATTTTCTCCCACGCAGCAACTATCCATAACCAAGAATACTCAACTTCCATGGGTGTCTCAAATCAAGCTACATAAAAATCCACATATAGAATCTATATCTATAACATCGTCGACGAAACTTGTCATATATTAGCAGCAACTTCTGCCCAAGGTGCCCGCTATTTGTTCCTAGACCCTAGGAGACTTTGCACCCCCACATCAACTGTCCACCACCGAAAGTACCCACCTTCCATAAGTGGCTCAAATTAAGCTACAGGAAATATCCATATATAGAATCTAAAACTATACATCCGTGGACTGAACTTCTCCTATGCTAGCAGCAACTTCTACCCAAGGTGCTCGTTGTTTGTTCCTAGAGACTCACCTTTAGAAACTCAACTCATATAACAAGTCCAAAAGAGTTGCCCAAAGCACTCACCCCCCCCAAGATTCGCCCAAGGTATTTGTAGGAGGGGAGGGGACCACGTAAGAGATAATGGTCTACATATAACCCACCCAGCTATTTAGTACACACATAAGCCTCACCTAGTATTAGTAAGATAGAATTTATTTTATCTAGGGTATATGTTCCCAACAAACAAAAGACTAAAAAATATTGTAGTGGAAAACATTTTATGATTTCAAAGTTTAAAAAATATGTTCTTTTATAATTTCAAATGAGATAGATTCAAATTTTAAATAGTTCTTTTCAAAAACTGAAGAATGAAAAGTAGCTTGAGAAGCTCAAAAGTACTCCAAACTTCTTATACCTTCCTATATTACTTTTAAAGTTGAATTTGACTTTAGTATTCATGTTGTTCATTTTATTAAAAATTTGGGATTTATATTTAACTAATACAAAATTAAGAAAAAACACAAAAGATGAGGACTTATAACATAACAAATGAGAAACTACTCGCCTGAAATCCTAAAGCTAAGTTGAGAACCACTATAAAACTAAAACCACGAATCTAGGTGTAAGGGAATACAAGACAATTACAACTTTTAACTCCACCAAAATTTAAGAAACCTCGATTCTACTAGACATATAATCGTGCCTGTGAAGAATTGGTAGTTAAAACCACATAATCACTTTAAAATACTGATATCAAAATTTTTATGCAATGTAAGATAGGCTATGTTGTTTTCATAGTAAGAATTAATAGTTACAATTTATCAACTAAAGCTAAGCAGCCCAACCATGAAGTATATGCAAATGTTTCTTAATAATATAAAGTTTTATGTATTGTCATTAATTGATTTTTATTTTTATTTTTCTTTCTGTTGAATAACACATCAAGGAGGGGGCCCACGGCTTTGATAGGTCAGCAATCTGTGGGCTGCAATCATGGGCTGCAGTTGGAGATTTCATCTTCTAACACTAAGATCCGTGGGATATAATTATTAGAATCAATTAGATTAAATGACTTTTCTCTTCTACTTAATATAATTAATTAGATTAAATATCCTTTTTTTATGTTTATGCTCCAAGAGTGTATATATATGTAATGATTCCAAGGAATAAAATTTGAATTCAATTTCCCCTAAACAATTTCTTCATGGTATCAAAGCTTAGGAAAATCCTAAGCCTTCTCTGAATGTCGGCGGCAAACCTTCCTCCCTTTCTTCCAATCTTCAGTCAGCGATAACTCTCCATCATCCTTCCTATAGCCTCTCTTCAAGCACCAGTAGCCCTTGCCCAAAATTCATCGTCTCTTTCAACCAAGGAAACCCAACAATGTTCATGGATAGTGAGATATCATCCTCCAACCCAAATATTACCAGTTTAAACACCATAAATTCTAGATCTACAAACAACTCTCATCTTCCTCCTCTCATCAGAAACCACATATTTAATGGGCAAAATTTTTTGCAATTGTCTCAATCGGTGAGAATGTTTATTTGCGGGAAAGGGAAAAAGGTATCTCACTAGTGAAGCCCCTATACCACCGCAAACCGAACCTCTCTACAGAAAATAGAAAGTAGAGAATCATCATATCATGTCTTGTCTCATCAGCTCCATGAATGCAAAAATTGGTGAAAATTTTCTTCCTTAAGAGACGGCTCAAGAAATATGGGAGGCCATGAAAAGATACCTACTCTAGTTCCGACAACACTTCCGAGTTATTCGTAATTGAGACCATCCATCACAATTGTCGGCAAGAGAACCTGACGATAACTCAATATTTTAATATTCTACCCGTTATTGGCAACAATTAGATATGTTTAAACAGTATCAATGGAAATGCCTAGAAGATCACGTACTTCACTAGAAGATTGTTGGGACAAAAAAAAAATATTCAAATTTTTTATGGGTTTGAACAAAAACTTGGATGGTGTTAGAGGACGGATCATGGGAAACAAAACTCTTTCAAATCTTCGGGAGGCCTTTTTTGAAGTTCGAAGGAAAAAAGAGCAGAAGATAGGTCATATTGAGAGGCCTACAAGGATCACCTGAGGTTAGAGAAGAAAATGCTCTTATCGTTCGCAGCAATCGAAACCCCACACATGTTAAAAATCGACATCAAAAGAAGGGAGGAAGACCTATGGTGTGATCACTGTGCCAAACCAAAACATACAAAGAAGACATGTTGAAAGATTCATGGAAAACTAGCTGGTTAGAAGGCAAACAAATCATTACAAGAAAGCAATGTGAAATCTGTCAACACCACACAAGATCAATCCATCAAAGCTGAAGCCATTCCTTTCAACAAGGAGCATTTAGATATGCTGCAATTGCTGCTTAACAACATGATGAACCATCTCCAGAACCTACTACCATCCTACACGCTCACTCAGATATAAAACTGTCAAAACATTGGGTTATTGACTCAAGAGCATTAGATCACATGACATGAGACATTACACTCCTTCATGGCTATCAAACCTTATCCTTTAAATCGAGTAGTTAATGTTGTTGATGGCTCAACATCTAAAGTTTTGAGAACTGGTTCTGCTTTTATCACAAAAGCTGTCACCCTTAAATCAGTGTTTTATGTGCCCAATCTTAAGTGAAATTTGATTTCCATTAGTAAATTGACTTATGATAGTAATTGATTAAAAATTTTCTCCAATAATGTACGTATTTTTTAAGAACTAGATTCAAAGAAGAAGATTTGTAGTGCTGAGATGTGTTATGGATTATATTATATCAAGACACCCAAATCATTAATTGTTGCTAAGAATCACCCTATCGTGGGTCAATTTGCTGAGAGTCATTCTAAAGTGAGTCATGATAGAGAAATTAACATGTGGCATTATAGGTTAGGTCATCCAAATTTCATGTATCTTGAAAAACTTCTTTTCCATTTATTTATTAATAAAAATCCAAGTTTGTTCAAATGTGAAACTTGTCAATTGGCTAAACATACTAGATCGTTTTACCTAATTATTCTTTACCAATCTTCTAAACCCTTTGTCTTGATCCATAGTGATATTTGGGGACCCTTAAAAGTTTAAAATATAAGTGGTGCAAGGTGGTTTGTGATATTTGTGATGATCATTTTAAACTCACTTGGATTTATTTAATAAAGGAAAAAATCTGAAATTGAAAGGATATTCAAATCATTTTAACAGATGAATCAAAACCAGTTTGATAT